TCCTGTGGAATAAATGGAAAGGTGGGGCTTCCTGGCTAAAAAGGGTATCGCTGTTTTGGTTGGTTTTTATCTTCCAACGGTGCCTTAACCACTAGACAAAACTCGGTTACTTTATCAACCCCTAACCCTGTTAATAATTCTGAAACACTAAGGCACACTCAACTACAAATGAGTTGCCCACATTTTAGCTTAGTGTGTGTATTCCAAACCCATCTTGTGTGCCCTGTTATTATTCAGTATTTTATATGAATCCAGATAATTGAGTGGACTCAGTAAACCATGGTTCAGTTAGCCATGGGTGTTTTATGTACACAACTCCTGCCTTTCATAATTTTTTCTTCACTATTCCACATATAATTTATTTTCCCAAGTTGCGATTTAGTAGGGGCAACTATATCATTATTTTCTGATGAATGACTGATGTAAATTTACAGGTGCCAAAACTTTTTAAACAGTTTATTTAAAAATGAGAAGCATTCCAACAAGCCTTTGAAGCGCTAGCAGTCTCTTCATTCAACATAATGGCTCTGCTTTGTTTACAGAGAAGTATATGGCTAGTATGTTTTTTGTCTTTTGTTCAGTGCAGAATTGTGACGAAGGACTGAACTTAAAACTTTGAAACTATGGATTCAATTTTTTTTTATCCACAAATTTATTGGGTGACTTTGAATCCATGACTCCCAGCAAAACTCACAGGACAGGGCTGTTATGATAATAAAAGAGAAATTACATTTTACTGAAATAAGGCTGCCCTGGTACTAGCAATTTAATATTTGAAAATAATTTCCACTTCAATCTAAATCCAGAAAAATATCCTTTATGGATGACAATAGGCTTGGTGTTTGAGGTCCTATCTTGAAATAGAGTCAGTTGTTGCAAACATTGGTGTCTGCCAGTTGAGCAAATGTTGTAACATACATGACATCACATATATGCCATGACTTTTGATACATGCACATCTTGTATCAAACATGATGTGCATCAGTTGCGTGATGACATCAACATTTTTGATGTCATAGTAGAACGCTATACATGCCACAGGCTGAAAAATATTTGTATGCCTACCTTCTTGAAACTGTGAATAAACAAATCATTTGCAAAATATCACAGTCTAATAAGAAGTCAGCAGGCTTAAACTCAGTAAGCTCAGTTTAAACTCCTCAAATCCAACTCCTGAGGTATATTAGAAACCATTATAATGTGAAAGTATGCAATTGTATAAAGTTTGTAATAGGTTTACTCTAATTTTAGCTGATTGGTTTCTGGCCAAGAAAGAGGGTAGGACGTTTCTAGAGAGTGCCCTCAAAATTAAACCTTGACAGAGGAGGAGACGTAGAATATAATAGAATAGAGCTGGAAGGGACCTTGGAGGTCTTCTAGTCCAGCCTCCTGCTCAAGCAGGAGAACCTATATTATCTCAGACAGGTGATTATCTAGTCTCTTCTTAAAACTCTCCACTGATGGAGTGCCCATGATTTCTGGAGGCAAGCTGTTCTACTGGTTAATTGTTCTCACTGTCAGGAAGCTCCTCCTTAATTCCAGGTTGCTTCTCTCTTTGATCAGTTTCCAACCATTGTTTCTCATCCTTCCCTCCGGTGCTTTGGTGAATAACGTAATCCCCTCTTCATCATGGCAGCCCCTCAAATACTGGAATACTGCCATCATGTCTCCCTTATTTCTTCTTTTCTTTAGACTAGCCAAACCCAAGTCTGCAGATGTTTTTTGTACGTTTTAGTCTCCAGGCCTTTGATCATCTTAGTTGCTCTTTTCTAATTTTTTTCCAAACTCAACATCTTTTTTGTGATTTTCTTCCCTTGGATGTTCTTCTGTAAGCTGGACTGATGGACCACCTCAACTTGTTATCATGTTGGCAGCTTTCAATCAGATCGAACTGTTCTTTTCTATGACCAAGGGACTACAAGATTCTCATTAGGGAAATATTTGCCCAAATTTTCTGTGCCTTTACAGGTAGTCATTGACTTACAACAGTTTGTTTAGTGACCATCAAAATTACAACGGCATTGAAAAAAGTGACTTATGATCACATTTCATACTTACAACTATTGCAGCATCCCTGTGGTCATGTGATCAAAATTCAGATGTTTGGGAAGTGACTCATATTTTTGATGGTTGCAGTGTCCCAGCATCATGTGATCACCTTTTGTAACCTTCTGACTGGCAAAATCAATGGGGAAGCCAGATTCATTTAACAACCATATTAGTAATAATTGCAGTAATTCACTTAACAACAGTGGCAAGAAGGGTCATAAAATGGGGAAAACTCAATGTCTCACGTAACAATATAAATTTTGGGCTCAATTGTGGTAATAAGTCGAGGACTACATGGCCATGAAACATTTTGCACCTTGATTTAGCCTTGCACATATCTTCTTTTCTGGTTCCATCTCCAGCACAATTTATTAACCCTTTCTTGTCTGGCCAATAACTCATTTTATAACCTGCTAAAATTATCTTTATGAACTAACCACAAACTCTGTATGTTGCCTGGAACTTTTGCACACTGAATTGTTCGTTCTGGTACTTTTCACAGCTCAATAACATACAGATGTTCAGATGTGAAGTTTTATCTCAGTTGAAACAGGATGGCAAATACTATGTAGAGTTCTGCCTAACTATCCAAGATTTAGAAGTTTGGACAGAGGGAAAATGGTACCAGGCATGCTCTTGTCATAATAAAGTTTGTTGATTTGGGACTTAGTAGTAGGATTTGTAAATTCAGCCAGTTGTTCCTTAATCATGAAAACTTGCTTAAAACAAGCATAGGCATATTATACGAACTCAGCCCATTTGACTGTTTTCACACCTTATGCCACCCCTCCATTTATTAATATGTAGACAAATATGCTGCAACTGGCTGAGTTCACACTAAATCAAAAACAAATGTTAGCATAATTGCAAATGGAACCTTATCTGTGGCTCTCTTTGTTATCCATAGTTAATCTTGTTACACAGTTATGGTTTATGGTATCAACACAATTTTGGGTGGTCTTATGACAAGCTATGATGAAAAATAATTGGCCAATTAGGGTGCCAACATGTCTGCAAACTCGTCATAGGAGTGTGTGAAAAAAGAGACATGGCATCTCTATGTTCTTTCCCGTTCAAAGACATGGCCACTTCCTTCGGCCAAATTTAATGGGTGAGCCATATCCAACCAAAACCCGATCGCGTGTACTTCGCTTGTGAAATAATAATAATAAAAAAAGCCTGAGAAGAAAGCTTTTCCCGCAAAGTGGGGCTTGGTGGGGCCCAGCGCATCTATATGTGAGGTGTTGCCCCTTTAAAGCCCCTAGAGGCGACGTCAAGAAGTGATCCGAGCCGGTTCCTAGTCAAGCCAAGGCAAAGCTCAGTTACGAAGCCGCGAATCTCCAAGATCAAGAGAACGAGGGAGTTGGTGTTCCCACCCAGTCTCCGGCTCTAATCGCCACAGTAAACAGGTGAGTGAGGGCTGCCAGTTTCCCCTCCTTCTTTCGTTCTGCGCGCCCATTCCCCTCTTTCTCTTTCTCCTGTCCCGACTCTGTCTTTAATGGAGTGGGACGGAGGAGTAAGCCACTGTACGCCTTCCCACGGTTTCAGTGTCTCTTCCTTCCTACTCCAACCCATTTCGCTCCTCTCGGCTGGAATGTTCCCTCACTGTCGCCCCGGTTCTTTCTTTGCATTGTGTCATCTCGCCTCTAACCCTAAACAGAATCTCTTTATCTTGAGATTTAGTTCTCGTTGAAGATTTACTCCCTCCACCGCAACCCGTCTTCCTTCCATCCCTTCTTCTTTCAAATCTGTTCACTCCAAAACCATGCGGATCCTTTCCGATCTCCCTTTTTATTAATGGGCGGATTTGCCTGAGTATTGCATTCTCTCTTTCCTCTCCGCCTCTCATTTAATCCTTACGCCTTGAGCAGCGTTGCGCGTGTGAGTTCTTGGAGGCTTCAGTTGTTTCATTTTACATTGTTCGCGGATTTAAGTGTAGTACAGCTTGGAAGAGATCTGAAATGATGAATATAATTCCTCCGATTCCTCGATGGAAAAAGAGGGGAGGAGATGTGTATTATCCAAATCACAGAGAATAGCTGGATTCATGTGACGTATTTAACTATGGTTAATTGAACCATGATGAACCTAAGCCAAATTTCTGGGCTTTCATAACACACTGACTCACAAACAAATTGGATTAGGCGATCAGTATTATTAAGCCAAAATATCGGTAGCCAGGATATGGCTTAGTGTATTGTGCAAAATGGCAATCATTGCACTACATGGGTTTAGTTGTAGTGCGATCCAGTATGTGAGTCTACTTTGAATTAAGCCTCAGTGAGAATTGCTTTCAGAGGAATGGGTGAAATGGTTTGCAGCTTGTTTCTGGTAAGATGATGATGATGATGATGATGATGATTCCTTTCAAATCCAGTTGAAAGATGTTCTCTTACTGGGGCATGAATGAATGAATATTTTCTTTTTGCTGGTCAAAAGTATCCCCCCCCCCCTGAAATAAGTATAGAGAAACCGTAATATGCCTTTAAATCACCAAATCTTCACCATTCCCTGGGTATTTTAAAAGCGGTCCTTTTCTTTAAATTGCTTTGCCTTAGTTCATCATAGTGTGATGATAGACAAAATGGATGGCACATCTTCTCACAATATTCAACTCCCTAGGTCTCGGCCTTATTCCAGAATATGGCAACTGTACAGTATTAGTGTTTTGCAGCAAATTAACACAAAGTAGGTGGTGATCTGCATTTCTGAATTTTAGATGGATTACCTATTTGGATGTCTAGGATACCTAATATAGTGCACACACCCCCAACTCTTGGGAATTCAGATATTCTGGAAACCTGTTTAGACTTAATGAGAAAAAGAAATTACATTCTATGTTTTCTCTTTTCTCACACTGTATGTAGCTAGGAGTGTAAAAGATGCTATTTTTTTTTTTTAAAAGGAGACGTGCTCTTTTGCTTTGTGCTTATGTGGCTGACTCTCCTCCCCTCCTTACAACAATCTTTTGAGGTAGGTTGAATTGAGAAAGTAGAACTGAAGTCACTTAATTAGATTCTTGGCTGAATAAGTATTTGAACCATGGGCTTCACCCAGCACAAAAACTCAGGAGTAACCAAACCTCTAGTCTCCAAGTATTTTGAATTGCCCTCCTCTGATTCTTGGTCAATGACCATGCTGATTTTAGGGATCTATCACATCTGGAATGGGCAAAGTTCTCTAGCGCTATTTTGAAACTGTATTAAAGTGATTGTTGTTGGCTAATGATCAGTCATGCAGAAGACAAGCTGTGATTTATTTTGCACATTTTTCATTTTAGATTATTTAATCTTGCCTTTATTATTTTTATAAATAACCCAAGGCAGCTAAATTCCTAATACTCTTTCCTCCTATTCCCCCCCCCCCCAACAACAACAACCTTGGGAGGTGCACTGGCTGAGAGAGAGTGACTTGCTCAAATCACCCAGCCACCTTTGGTGCTCAAGTGAGACTAGAACTCTCAATCTCCTGGTTTCTAGCCTGGTGCCTTAACCACCAAACTGGTAATTTATTGTTAGATATATTGTAAGTGCCCAATCTCTGTTACGTCATTGACAAAGTCCATTTAGTTAATGTTAGTTTCTGACATAACACTTTTGTAAAGAACCAACTTTTACAGTTAATGTGTTATTTATTTGAATTCAGCCAGCTGTGCTATGCCATGGACCGTTCTGCACATTCTGTCTAAATATTTATTCCAAATTGTTCTGATGGCAAAAAGGTGAAAGTTGCACAGATTATATTATTGGGGGGAAAAGCGGATCACATTAACTTTGCAGATTCATTTTAAATTTATTTGGCATAATAAAGTGTCTTTGGTTTGCAGCCAGCCACCTCCCCCCTCCACCAAACCAGTATAATTCCTCGTGTTCATTAAGGCTTAATTCATAAATAGTTTATATTTGTCAATGCATCATCCATGAATCCACATTTTGTGAGAATTGTAAAATTTACACTTTTACATTATCCTATCCATTAGTCTCAGATTTTTAATTGCTGACCTACCTTTTGAGAATTTCTTTGTGTGGGTTGGGGGAGGGGGTAGAGGCAAGAGGAAAAAAGCAATTTGATGCTTAAAATTCCAGTAGATAAGAGAGTATAGCTATATTTAACATTTCTTTTCAGCATGTGCAATCCCAGTTGTAGCCAAATTTTGAAACATACTTGAGATTTTATTTTCAAAATGGCCCTGAATGATCTGCATTTTCTTTTTTAAAAAATCCATCACAATAAGACTCTGTATGTGTGTCTCTATAAAAATAGAAAGTTACTAAGATTGCATTCTGTGGAGGTGGAGTGCACAGCATATTACATAATATGAAATGTGATGATAGGCTGGCAAACCAAAGAGATTAGTGGTCTGTTTGCCCCGTCACGTGAACTCATTTCTGCATAATGCACAAGTGTGTTGATGCTGACGTTGGTAATTTTGAATGGATATGTCATAATGATGTTGATTTCCTTGGACTACTGAATTGGGGCACACAGGATTAGTGGATGAATAGATTATGATGGCCTGTGTATGCATGAAAGATATAGAGGACTGCTTTATGGAAGATTGATGCTTTCCTAAAAGCAACATGAGTGCAAGCTCAAATTCCTACTGCTATTTTTCTGTCCCTTAAACATATTTATTACCCTCAGTCAACCATCCATGACTGCCCAAGGTGTTCATACTGTGAACAGCTGCTCTAAATGATCTCTCTTAATGATCCTTCTACCTGCTGTCAAATAGTGGGAAAAATATATTGTTACTTATGCTGTTTACATACAACCTATACAGGAGATGCATAAGGAAGTATACCCCCCCCCCAAAGAATGATGATGGCCATGATTTTCCCTTCTAAATTGTTCTTAAAAATAAAACATATTTTGGGATCTAGATCTAGCTCACCTTGCATTCAGTGAGGATTTATGCACTCTTTCACAAATAATTATTTTCCATCATTTTCCTGAGGACATACAAAACAGCTTCAAGAGAAATTAAACACAGTTAAAATAGTTAAAAACAATAAAGTTAACCATGCAACTTAAAAGGCATAGCTGACAAAAGAAACCTGAAGCAGCTCTCTAGAAGAACAAAGAGAAAGGATTACAGCCACTAAGGAAATTATTTCTATATCACTCTCTTTCCAACCTTTTTCCTTCTTCATGGAATGTCTTTCCACTTACCTTTTATTTTATTTTATTTATACCCCATTGGGGATAGATTGTCATGGGGGGGGGGGAATCTATAAGGTCACTGAAAACAACCTGATGACACATAATCAATTTATATCCCACATTTCTATCTAATGGAGTCTCATAAGCATTTTTCCCTTCACTTTATAAAGTTAAATTGTTTAAAACATTTTCAAACAAAAATATTCCTGTTTGTGAACACTCCATATTCCACAATCAGTTTAGCAAATATGCATCCAATGTTTTGCTGCCATTCATGAACTCAATGAATATTTTCTTTCCCAATTCTTCCTCCATCTAAATTGGAATTAAGATTGGAAATTGGGATTCCATTCTGCCTAAGTGATACTCCAAAATTTAATTCCTATATTAGCTCAGAGTTCCCTAAGATTTACTGCTGATTTTTTTTTGTTTTTTTGTTAAAGCAATTCCATAAGAGTTGCTTACTTTGCAACCTTAAGGCTTATGTAGACAACAAGAGCAATATGCTGTATAAAAACATTTTTAATGTAGCAGCAAAAGCAAGGATTTGATAAGATTGGAAACGCAGCAGGCAAATGGAAGCTATTCTAATCTTTAAGGAATTTATTGTGCTTTATTCTTCCTGCTTGCCATCCTCCTCCTCTTGCTTTTGAGATTTGCATATCCCTGAAACATCCTTAGATGATCCTTATACAGATGGGAAACATAATTTGTGTTCAACAGTTTTCTGCCCTGGAAGCTGTAGTTTCTGTTTGCCCGTGTCCAAGATGTGAAAAAATAAGATAATGTTGAAAGCCTAAAGGCCAGTCCAGAATGCTATTAAGTGATCATAAATCACACTGCAAACATCTGAAATAAGAGGGTAGAATACCAAGAACTGATTGAGCCCTCAGTCCCATTGTATGTTTCGTATGCATTAAATTATAATATGTTTCTTGTTTTCACCCCCTGATTACTGCTGTAATGTGGACATAGTTTTTACCCTTCAGTTCCCACCATTTTAGGTGTGTGTGTGTGTGTGTGTGTGTATCCTGCAGGTTTTATAGACAGTCTGGAGTCTAACCACCTAAGAATGCTTGTTAGAGATTTTTTTTCTTGTATGTAAAATCCCAGAAAATAGATATGGTAACCAGAGTAAAAGTTTTATGTCCTTGCCTTCTCTCTTCACAATTTAGGCTGGGCTACCAAGAATCCTTATTTGAATCTGTTTATTGATTCTGAGATTCTTTTATACAGTTCAGTCTATACTTCCTGTAGGGAAAGGCTGCATCTCGCCTCTTAATTAGGACCAACTCCATTCCTAATGTATTATTGATTCTCCAATTATTGATTAACTGCTACGCGTGAGCATGTCAGTTCTCTGACTAATATTTTCCTTCTGTCAGCAGATCGGGTTGAAATTTCTCTTGTGAAATGAGGGTTGGACTAATAATGGAACACATTAGAAGAGATCAGCCCAATCAGCTGTTTTGTTTACCAAGAAATCATTCAAGGAATATTGGCTAAAACTTTAGAATTTATAAGAACATCTTTATTTTTTCACACATAGCTGGTTCATCTGCACCTCACCTCGGGATGCTTGAACTCATGAATTGCACCTTTAGGTCTTACAAAAAGAGACAATTGCTGAAAAAAAAGTGTTAATATTCAGTGTAATTTGGTATTATGTTCAACAAGTTTTGGGAGATCTTGGTTCAAATCCCCATTTAGCTGTAAGTTCACTGAATGTCTTGAACCAGCTCCTCTCTGTCAGCCTTCACCATCTCCCAGTGCTATTGGAGAAAGAAATAGAACAGTTCTATTGTTTGATAGAAAATATTAATAATAATTAATATTTTTCTTGCAATATTTTTCCTAAAGAGTGTGATGGTCTGTGGGAATGGACTGAGGAGACAGGAAGGAGAGGCACATACAGGGCGACCAGCATGTAAAAGTTCAGTTCATCCAAAGGGAAGATGGTGTGGGAAACATTTCAGAAGGGATCCTTCCTAGTTTTCTAGAGTGTAAAAGCAAAAGAAGGGGGGAAGGAGGAATACTTTCAGTCTTGTAAAATTCTGTTAATGTAACCTAACAATAAAGAAAGAGATAGTATTCCTGATTGCGCTTCTTGTCTAGATAGCCCCATGGATTATTGCTAACATCAATCTTGCAAGAAAAAGAAGCAGTTTGATTGTTTTGGGGAAATTGAACCAGTTCATCAATCCTTTGGGGAAATGTATTTTTAGTTCTTTGGCAATGACCCTTACAAGAAACTAGGCACAAAATGAGTAACCTCTCAATCCAGCTGGAAGGATTTACCTCTAAGAGCTTACATCCCAACTTCGCTGTATTCCATTACAGCTGTATTTTTTAAGGTCCAATAAAAACCAAGATTTTCTTTCTTCTGTCTAGCCTCTATTTAGTGCAATAAATAGTTATACACAGGAGAAAGAAAGATTTGTTTTTTACTGTAATTTAAAATTATAGTTGTAGTGGAATACAATGAAGTTGGGATGAAAGCTCTGTTGAAAACAGTGAGATTTATTCCTAACTTAAGCAGAATAATATTGCATTGTTTATAGTTGGAATTTATTAAGTGATAAAGTTTAACATTCTTTTCAGAATAATGATATTTTTGTTATCATGACATAATAAAACTGTTGATTGATTAATTATATACTGTTGAGTCATTTTTCATTTCTCCATGATAATTTATCCCCATTATTTCAAGACTCCCAATAGGGTACTTATTGCCACTATAACTGAGTCCTTGTGCTGGTTATCCTCTTCTTCGTTTCACCTTTCCCAGTGCTAAAGCCTTATTCAGGGAGCTAGGTCTTTTTTGCATAATGGACTGAAATAGGATAATTTGAGCCTGGTTATTTGTACTGTGAATGAGAACTCTGGTTGATTTATTTGATGATCCATTAGCGTGTTTTCTTGGCTGTCCATAGTATCCTCAGGAGACTTCTCCAAACCAAAGTTGAAAGGCGTCAATACCCTTACTATCCTATTTCTTTAAAGTCCAACTTTTGCTTCCATAGAGTGTCACAGCATGATTTTAATTAGATACAGTGCTGTATTTGAGTATCTCTTCTAAGGCCTTCGTGGCTGGTCTACTAAGTGCTAGTCTATAGTGTATTTCTTGTTTGCTTATTCCATTACTGTTGGTAGCTGATCCTAAAAAGCTACTTTGCCAATTCTGAGGCTGGTGGTTCTGCTCGTTGTCAATAGTTGGTCTTCTTCGTATTTAATTTTAGTCTCATTTTTTTTCTATTATGTTCTTTTACTTTTAATACTAGGGCTTGGCAATGCTTTGCATTTTTAGCTATCAGGATATTGTAAAGTTATCAACACAGGGTACGCTCTTGATATTTCTTTCTCCAATTTTAAAGCATGCTCCCTGCTTCCAATTATACAGATAGTCCTCTACATATGAACATTATTGAGCCTGCTCATCATGTTGTGTAATGGTTATAAAACAGGTCAATCATATGACTGACCAAATTTTATGACTTTTTTTGTGAACAAGAAGTTGTAAAATGGCCATAACAAATGCTGCAATTGTTAAGCAAACAAATGGTCTACTATAGGTATGGTTCTGCTAAAAACTGAAAGTAAGTGCCAGTTTTTAGCAAGATGCTGCAAATAACCATAAATGCAATTGTACTGCCATGCACCTGAAGTTGGGTCACATGATCACAGAATGGAATTGATCTTCAAACATAGATTGTAAATCCCTGTTTTTGAGTCATTGCAACTTCAAATGGTTGCTGTACAATCTTTCAGCATCAACCAGAAAAGAAATGTCAGCATGCTGTTCAGTATATGTATGTGAACAATAAACTATATTTATTATCTGTATTACTGAAATAAAGAATGTAAAGAAGAGCAATTAAGACAATTAAAGGCCTGGAGATTAAAACATATGAAGAACAGTTGCAGGATTTGGGGTTGGCTAGTCTAGAGAAAAGAAGGAGAAATGATAACAGTATTCCAGTATTTGAAAAGTTTCCACAAAGAAGAGGGGGTCAACTTATTTTCCAAAGCACCAAAAGGCAAGACAAGAACACTGGGCACTAACTAACAAAATGAAATTCAATGGTGAAAAAAGCAAGGTTCTACATTTAGGCAAGAAAAACCAAATGCACAAGTACAGCATAGGTGGCACCATGCTCAATAGTAGTAACTGTGAGAGGGACCTTGGAGTCCTAGTAGACAATCACTTAAATATGAGCCAGCAGTGTGCGGCAGCTGCCAAAAAGGCCAACACCGTGCTAGGCTGCATTAACAGAGGGATAGAATCAAGATCACGTGAAGTATTAATACCACTCTACAATGCCTTGGTAAGGCCACATTTGGAATACTGCATCCAGTTTTGGTCACCACGATGTAAAAAAGATGTTGAGACTCTAGAAAGAGTACAGAGAAGAGCAACAAAGATGATTAGGGGACTGGAGGCTAAAACATATAAGGAACGGTTGCGAGAATTGGGTATGTCTAGTTTAACGAAGAGAAGGACAAGGGGCGACATGATAGCAGTATTCCAATATCTCAGGGGCTGCCATAAAGAAGAGGGAGTCAAGCTATTTTCCAAAGCACCTGAAGGCAGGACAAGAAGCAACGGGTGTAAACTAATCAAGGAGAGAAGCAACCTAGAACTAAGGAGAAACTTCCTGACAGTGAGAACAATTAATCAGTGGAACAGCTTGCCTCCAGAAGCAGTAAATGCTCCAACACTGGAAGTTTTTAAGAAGAGACTGGACACCATTTGTCCGAAATGGTGTAGGGTTTCCTGCCCGAGCAGGGGGTTGGACTAGATGACCTCCAAGGTCCCTTCCAACTTTACTACTATTACTATTACTAATCAAGGAGAGAAGCAACCTGGAATTAAGGAGAAACTTCCTAATTCTGAGGACAATTAACCCAGGGGAACAGCTTGCCTTCAGAAGTTGTAGGTACTTTATCACTGGAGGTTTTTAAGAAGAGACTGGAAGCCACTTGTCTGAAATGGTATAAAGTCTCCTGTAGGGGGTTGGACTAAAAGACCTCTAAGATCCCTTCCAGCTCTATTCTGATTGCATTTTTTAAATAAGAACTTAAGAGAAATTCTATTTTTAAAATATATTGATCCCTTAGAATGTAAGATTAGTAAGTAATTGTGGGAAAAACAAAACAAATGAGATCTAGGCAGAGGGCTTCAAATGTTTAGCTCTTACAAGCCTGGCTTTGAATCTCTGTGTTTTTCCTTGGTTGAGATGTTTAATTATGGTTAGCAATTCTCTTTTCTTGAATGCAGTCTTCATTTTTCACAGCTGCATACTTGTTTAGTTCTTTTATTGTTGGAAATAACTGCACAAATTTGAATGGGGCAGATGGTAGATTACTTCATTTAGGTGGGCTTTTAATAAAACTTGCCAGCTTTTGCATATTCTTCATAACTGGGATGGGAAATTATGGGAAGTTTTCAGATTTTTAAAAATTTGAATGTGGGAGAAAGTGAAATTGGCAGAAGATAAATATCTTCTTGACAATTTAGCTCTTCTTCTTATTCCTCTTCTTTATTGCCTAAGGAATAAAATGCAAAAAATAAAATAAAAAAATCACCTGGTAAAGACCAAGTCTATTATTTATAAATAATCTCTGAACTTGATATAGAGTATCAGAATCAAGTGAGTGTATGCTATTGTAGGCCATGGGATAAATTTTTGAGATCATTTTTTGAAGAGGTGTTCAATTCTTCTCTCTTTGCAGGATCGCCCCAGGTACTCATTAGAAGAAGAATTAACTATTTCTAATTCTATCACTGAGAAGACCTCCCTGGTTGTCAAAATGCCTGTTGCTTCAACCAACTCTGAGACAGGTAAGAACTTGTTCCTATTTCTGATCCATATTTTTCCAGATATTCTCCAGAAATCTAGAACTAAACTCTAGTCTTTCTGGTGAACAAATCTGGAGGGCATCCGGTTGATTATTGCATTTTCTGTGAGATAAAGCAAGGATATGTAGGCATTTTATACTGCTCCTATAATTTCTTGCCAATGTCAACTGGATTTGCAGGAGTTCAAGTTGGAACTTACCAGAAAACTACAACGTTCCTATTCCTTGATTAATGTAATGTGATCCATTTAAGTTTGAGTATTCATACAACTTGCTTAAGAAGTTGATTGAGTTACCCCATTTTCTGCATTTGCTAAAACTCTGAATCATAAACTAACCCAAATTAGGCATAATTTGATTGCACCAATGAATAGGTCGGAACTGTTTTTCAGTACTTCCATCACCTATTGATATTCTCTGGTTAGTAACCATAATAAAGATGTGTTTGTACATAAACTAATCAGATTGGCTGGGTTCAGCTAAAAATAATCAAATTTAACAGATTGTACAGATGGAGCTGCTAGGTCTTTGACTTGATTAACTGAGTTGTATAAACTCAGCTATTCTGCTTTTACATTTTGCATTAAGGTTTGCTTTAATTTTAGATAGAGCTTTCTCTCTGTCAGTCTTTTTCAATCTGGTGGAGGCAGCCAGTCTTAGAACTCACTAGATATTTTGCTTTACAATCCCCAACAGCTCCAGGGATTAAAGATTATGGATATGTTCCTATGCATACCAGAGGAGACATACAAGATGGTTAGCCCTGTCTTTTGCAGTTTGAGAGATTTGGCCTTAAGGAAGTCCAAGCAACAGTGTAAGAGAGAGTGGGCTGCAGAGATTAAGGTGCTTGATTAGGAGGAGGGAGACCTCCAAGTCTACCCTTTGCCATTGAGATTTACCAAAATATTTGGGGCCTCTCTGCCAGCATCTCATAAGTTTATTGGCTGTGGGAATAAAATGAAGGTTGATCTCTGTAAAAAGCTACTTTCAACTCTTGGGAAAATATGAACAATAAATAATTCTCTGCAATATTGGATCCACATATTTTAGTTATGCAGACAATCTATATCTGAATTGTTAACAGACATAGATTGTTTGGATTGATAAACAGAGTGCTGGTAATATATAGTAGCGGGATCAGCTTACTCTGCACATTTCGTTATTAACTGCCTTATTCTTTGGATCTAGAGGAGTATAGTTTTATCTCTTCAAGATAGCATATTTCTCTCTCTCAGTTGTTGCATTGTATAAGTAGAAAATTATTGTTGATGTTCAGCATATATTTGTTTAATCTCTATCTGTGGTCACATGGATACATGCTCAGCTTTGTCCTGACATTGTCCCCCCTGTTCACCCACAAGGAAAGAGCTTCTGTTTTATTATAGGATAAAAACCATTAGTTAGTATTCAGCCAAGACATCATAATCCAATGCAAACAACTGTTTCCTGCATTTGAGGGAGCCTCTTTTATGTCCAGAATCTTAAAATGATTTTGAAAGAGAACGGAAACCCAATAAGCCTTCTACTTGTCTCTGTGCATTCTCAACTATTATATTGGAATTAAGTTACTGTCCATTAGTTTTAAACCTGGAACAAGATTTCTTTATTAAAGAAATATTTCTTTTTCCTTCAGGAATAGGCAGGTTTTTTTTCCCCTCCAGATAGTAATAATTAAATCTACATTTCAGCTGTCTAAAAAGCTCCAATTCAGATGCCATTTGTAGAAACCAGATAAAATTTTACAAAACTTTCTTTAAAAGGTGATCAAGCTACTGTCTAAATATGATAAATTGATTGGTTTTGCATCTTCTCAAATAAAATTGAGTAGTGAATGTACTCTCTCCGTAAAAACAATTCCTGATTTACTATTGGTTTTTGAGGAGGAAGAAAATAACAGAGGGTTAGGCTCAATAGCCAAAATGATCCTTTCCAGATTTATAGTTCTGTGAAATTGCTGGTTTTAGTTGTGGTAGTGTTTGGGATCACGAAGAGTAGACCTGCCAGTTGTTTTACTTAACTTGAGAAGGCAGATGAGGATTTTCTGAATTTTTAGGTTTTCTACCTTTTTTAAAACTAGGGTAGGGAACTGGATATCAAAAGGTTTCAACATGTGGCATTAGAAAATGCATGAAATAGAAAATGATGTTTTGTTTTAAACCTGAAGAAGATGCATCATATTTTGGAAGGTTTGTCAAAGCATGCTGAGTAGGCAGCAGATTGGCAGAAGCTCTTGGCTGTTTCAGGTTTTGCCTGAAACAAATCTTGGAGAGTCTTACAAAGTGAGTGGACCTTGTCTTTTTCTTCTATCCTCCTCTGCTTGCTTTGAATATTGGCCTGCCTGCCCATCTTCCTAGTGCCTTGCTTCTCCTATTTCTCTTTAACCATTGCCATTTCCAGTGTCATTGGTTTTCAATACAACCTAGATATAGTTCTCAACTTTCAACTGGTTGCTTAGAGACCATTCAAATTTATGTCAGAACATCCAAAAGGCATGACCCAGTTCCAGAGTTCTGATATCCCCCATATGGTCATGTGACTGCATTTTGGCCATGTGGCAACCAGTCTGCATTTCACAGTTCTTTGAGCATTCTGGAGTCACGTGACCCTGATTTACAAAGTTTTTGCCGAAAGTCAGAGTTTACATCCAGTTTTCAGCAAAAAACCCCCAAATAAAACAAAACAAAAAAACCCAATAGCAAATAATGGGTTTGCTTAACAAGTATAGCATTCACTTAACATGTGGTGACTCAGTTTAGGCTCCATTATGGTTGTGAGTTGAGGACTACCTTGCATCAGTCAATTCTTCCATACCTAGCTAGTTTGGCCCCTGCAGTGCACCAAGAATAGGCACCAAACAAAATGAACTAGCAATTTAGGTTGTCAAGACTTGATTGTGTCTAGCATATATAGATTTCCCTGACATTGTATGCCATATGCCAAATACATAAATAAAATATATAAATCCTCCATACCTCTGGTTTTCTCGGGGTTTTCTGTCTCTACTTCTCTTTAGCCTTCAAGCACAACAATCAATGCCTGTGGCTTTTTCCTGCCTAACCCAGAAATATATCTTCCAGAACCCATATGATTTAGTCTAGGTGGCCCAAATTTACACCTTTCAGCTCGCTTGTAACCAAAGGCTTGGAAAATGTTCAGTGACTATGAAAACTCAAAGAAAGTGATAACCACAACATGCTTTAAGCTGTGGCATACTCTGGAGGTTGCAGAGGGTCTCTAAGAATTCTCATGGAAACTGATCTGAACTTCCTGTGCTAATGTACAGATTGGTGCTTTTCCACCCACACTTTCCCAATGTTCTAATACATTTCTTGACTAAAAAACGCAACCCCAAAATCCTGTCAGTCCATCATTGGAGAGAAAATGCAAGAATATAGTAAGGAAGGCTTTTCATGCAGATTTTATAGAAGTCACAGAGAGTTATAGAAATAGGACAACACAGATTTACTTACGATTCTGCAAAAATGAATTGACTAATTCAACCATGTTCTTTGCATTAAATTATAGAAAATTAATTAATGATGTTGATGATGATGATGATGATGATGAAAGCAACATAGTAATAAAAGAAATACAAGTGTCAAATTCAGTATGCTACAGTTAAATCAAATGATTTGGTAAAAACAACTATAAACTCCATATGTTGTTTTAAAAAAATGGGACAAAGATAGGGAAAAATGTGAAACTGTAAATCATTATAATATTTTATAAAAGTCTAACTGAGTGAGTTGCTTGTCTTATGCTATAGGTCAGGGGTGTCAAACTCAATTTCATTGAGGGCCGCATAAGCATTGCAGTTGCCCTGGGGGGGCGGGGTGTGTGGCCAGGGTGGGTGTGGCTTACTGGGTGGGCATGGCCAGCTCTACATCGTTCGTGTCAAGGGGTCCTGTTAGGGCCTGGGCAGGAGTGGGACAGATCTGAGGGTCTCTGGCAGAAGGGGGTGGGACCAGGGCAAGTGCCAAGGCATGGTCCACGGAAGAGCCTCACTGTTCCTCTCAGGCCATGCAGCGGGGGGCTGGATGGTGGTGCCACCACAAAATTGTACATTAGCTCCCGGCCAGCCTGGGCCAGGGCCAAGGCAGTGGGAGACCGTTCCCTCACTGTTTCCAGGATGGCTTCGCGGACCACATAAAACCACTTCACAGGCCGCATCCGGCCCCCGGGCCTTGTGTTTGACATGTCTGCTATAGGTAAAATAAATCAAAGAAACAGGATCAGATTGCTTGGGAAATCCTCTTTGTTGTCATTTGTTGAATCACAGGGAATTAGGTGGCTTATAAATTTAGTAGCTTAGTTTAGTATTATTAATATCTTTTTAAGAGTTATTATTGGCTTTCAGACATTAAAGATACATGTTAAACATCCATGCTGCATATTAGGCAGGACTGATCCTTTTAATGTTGTTTGCTTGTTTGATTTATTAACTTTTGTGCCATCAAGTTGTTTTCTTCCTATCCTGTTTCTTTAAAATCCATAGGGAATATCATAGCTTGCACAATTCTGATCTTTGTATGTTGTATAATACTTTTGTTAAAATGAATTGGCTTCATTAGTCTGACAGTATGCAACTGTGTGTGGCAAAGATAATTAGCACTTATTTCAGTAACAGTGATGATTACTGTCTTTTCCCTCAGGTGTCTTCAGGATCTGTGTGTGTGCATGCATACGCCTCTGACCAATGCAGTGCCCATTAGCCATACATATAAATAAAAGCTCCAATGTTGTCGTTCATTTTCCATGTACATACCAAGAGGAAATGTATGCCAACTGCAACAATTTTAAAATTACATTGTGAAAAAGACTGGGTAGGATTAGTTACTGAATTAATAACACATTAACATACCTTTAAGAAAACCTATTAGATCATAGAGTGAATAACAGATTTATAGAACAGTATTATGGAGGTCACTGTATCTATCTTCTGTTTAGGACCTTCTAAGTTTGACTTAAACATCCTTCAACAAA